GACACTTAACAATAGAATAAAACATATAATATAGATGACAAAATGAAGGACAATAAAAACAAAAACAAACAGTGGGTTCACAGTGAATATTCAGATTTGAACAGATGGGTTTTGAGTTAAAGATTTAAACAGGGGGAGGGAATCAATGTTTCTTAAATCTGGGGGTAGAGAGCTCCACAGCCTGGGAGTAGAGCAGCTGAAAGCTCTCCTTCCCACTGTGGTGAGGTGGAAACAAGGCACAGAATAGAAGAAGAAGATTGAAGTGAGCGGTAGTAGCGGGTAGGTAGTGCTTAACAGGTCAAAAAGGTAAGGAGGAGCAAGGTTATGAAGGGTCTTGAAGGTAAGCAGAAGAAGTTTGTATATTATCTTGAATTTCACTGGGAGCCAGTGAAGTTCCTGAAGAACAGGGGTAATGTGCTGGCAGGAGGGGGTTCTGATAATAATGAGTTTTGAACCAGTTGAAGCTTATGGAGGGATTTTTGGGGTGTAAGATGGTGTAAGTTGATGTACTCAGTCTCGTCCTGTATGGATTTCTGTCGATCGCTGTTTTCCTCAACTAGTAAATCTGCCCTGGATTGTTTTCAGGTAGTTCTGAATGCTAATACCAAGGCTGCTTACTTGCTCGAGCAGACAGAACCATTCAATCACTGTGACCGCTAGCATCCTTTCACTGGTTCTGTGTTAGTGTCGGGGTGCAGTTCAAAGGTCAAACGTTTGTTTCGTGCATGTATCTGATGACCGGGAGTGCACCCTGAGCTCCACTGGTGCAGTTTGGTGGAAATTCAAGCTCTGTGACATGAAGGTTAACGTTATGTACAGGTACGTTTCATAAAGTACTCTTTATGCTTTGGAAATATATAACATTTTAATTTAATATGACATTTTTAGCTGTGTATTGTTCCAGATGCCAGGCCTTGTTCACTTGGTGCCTATGGTGAAACAGTAAAGTGAACAAAGTGAAGCTTTGGTCCAGATAAGATATATGCAACCACCTCTTCATGTTGACTTCAGTTTCAGCCTTTGAAGAGGAGATCAGGTCCATCCATCCATTCGCTTCCGCTTATCCTTTTCAGGGTCGCGGGGGGCGCTGGAGCCTATCCCAGCTGTCAATGAGCTGATAATGAAACAGCGGTCAGCAAACAGCCAGAGGGTCCTTGTGTGGATCTTCTCCCACTCTTGTCCTGGTCCTGGATTTATTTATGTGTGATTACAACTGATAATGTACCGTAGTTTTTGGACTATAAGGCGCACCGGATTATAAGGCACAATATCAATGAACGGGTCTATTTTGTTACAGAAGGCACACCGGATTATAAGGTGCATTAAGCAAAACAAAAATGTCACATAATTCAAACTTTATTCAACTCATTCACAATGACTCTCAAAATTGTTCAGTTGTAACACATAAAATACAGAACAAAACATTCACTTTTTCAGTTCATTCTTCGTCCAGAAATCCATCAAATTCTCGATCTACAGTGTCTGAGTTTAACAGGTGGGCGATTTCGGCCCGTAGGCATGTCTCTTAACAGGTGCCATTTTGGGGTCCTTATAATCACACCATAATATTATGTTGAAGCAGATTTTTGAGCGCCGTGTACCACAAAAAATCGGTTTGAGGTCAGTGAGCTCAACCAGAATTGATACATAAGGCGCACTGTCGATTTTTGAAAATTAAAGAATTTTAAGTGCACCTTATAGTCTGAAAAATACAGTAGTTTGGAGGATAACCTCTGCAGCAGGTGTAGGAATCACAGTGACTCACGTTGAAGTGACTTAGCTGTTTACATGTAAATGCCAGGCGACCTTTAAAATCCCCAGAAGGGGCTCCAAGCTAAAGGTATTCCCAGAATCCAGACCTCAAACCATCTGGATGAAACAAACAGCGATGCGGGTGGGACGGTTTGTTAATCTTGAGGAAAGGTGCTAACACCTGAAGGTTGAACTGAGATCCTTTGTTAGTGCACCAGACGGCATATTTAATTCTCACACGGTGGCTGGAGAGAACTCATCCCGAGGTTGTTCTGCCAGTTTTCCGGGGTTTACCGTCTCTGTCCGTCCTGCTGTCAGCTTTCAGTTACATATTCTGTCCTCCATGTGGATATCAGTTCAGCGGGTTGAGCATGCTTAGAGAGAAGCATGTAATCAGCTGACCTGCCTGCTGGGCTGAGCTCTCTTCCCATCAAAGGTTGCTTGTTGCTTCAGCAGCAGCGATGCTCCTCCACAGCAGGCTGGATCTCTTCACTGTGAAGAACCTGTGAAGGTGATAGATTGATGCTCTTATTGCTCCCTTATATGCAAAGGTTGTTTTTAAGAATGTGTATTTCCAACATATGATGCAGGAAAGCTTCTCCACTCTTCAATCAGCTGATTCAGCAACTCAACTCCTCGATGACTCCTCGGGGCCTAACCCGGGCTGCTTTTAGGACTCACTGAGAAACCTGGCAGAGAAGTCCAGAGTCCAGTTCAGGCAGTGGCTTATGTTGGGTTGCCCACATATGGAGAGGTTATGTCAGCTGTTGGGTGGGGGCTGCATGGGCCGAAAGTCATGACGTGGTTATTGGTGGAGTATTTAGATGATCCTTTGCCCCTGCAGACAGCTCCCAGGTTTTTACAAGCTCCTCTCGGTGACAGCAGCAGGAGGTTTCTGTGGTTTCGGTGTCTAAGTGTGACCTATGGAGAAGCAGCAGATACATCAGTCAGTGGGAGTTGGAGTAAGACCACCAAAAGAACCTCAGCACTGAGCTGAGAGCCAGAAGGCAAAAATCCAAATAAATGTCCCCAGGACCCCCCCACGAAT